GTCCAAAAATTCACACTCGAGATTTCGATGAGCCTCTCCGGTTTAAATCTCCCTTTATCCCTTCCCTTACAACAACGTGTCTAACACGTGCATCGTATTATGGAATTTGTGTTGTTTAAATTGGTAATAAAGTCAACGAAACAATTAATTTTAAATTCAAAAATCATGTGGACACGCTTAAATGTCTCAATTATCAATTACCATCTTAAATAGATTGAAATAATAAAAAATATCCCAAATGGGTGGTGGCATCTAATAAGAAGGTTAAATAAATTCCTTAGGTTAGGTTAGGTTATATTAACGTCCCGTTTTGAAGCAACACGAGGGCTATTTAGGGACGGACCTCGTAATTTTGAACCGCGGTCAGATGACGAGGACGACACCTCTCCAAGCTTCCGTTCGAACCTGCGACCCTCCGGTCCCGAGGTCGAGACCTTACCACTAGGCCACCGCGGCCAATAAATTCCTTAGATCAATGGGTTAATATTTAAAAAAATCGAAATTATGTTTGTTCATATGTTTGCGAACATACTTCATGTCCATCCAACTGGTACAGTAACAGTAATGGCTTCATGAACAGGGACATAAGGCAGCGTTCTGCCTGCGAACATAGTGACTCAACCAGCTGGAATGGTCTCCCCTAAACTTTCTCGTATACTTTCCCAAAAAGGTGCTGTTTCCCTTCCCCCCGCGTGGATAAAAAAAATTCGAACCTACTCTAATCCAGAATCCAATGACTATCAGAAGGTTTTTCACTGTAGATTAGAGTGATTCTAAAATATTTACGTCAAGAATCAAATTCAAAGAGATGCGTGCGATTAAACGCGAACCGATTTTCTACTTTTACAGTCTCAAGGACAAAGTGGCGTAATCCTACCGCGTGCACAGGCATTGCTACCAGAGATAGCTACCAATACGCATGCGCATGGAGTTAGTTTCAAAAGTGAAAAAGTATACGATTATACAGATCGAAAAACAGTCAGCCCGTTGGCGGATTTGGCCCAAAATTTTATACGGACCTACATTTATGACGATAAAATTGTATACCAAATTTTATCCATATAGCTATTCAAGGTTTTGAGTTATAGTGTTCGCATGACCGCGGATATACAGACAGACAGACTTCCCGTTGACGGATTTTGTCCACAGTTTGGTAGAAACCTACAAATTATGTTTAAAGACCACATGCCAAATTTCATCCCCGTAGCTCTAATAGTTTTCGAGATATCGTGTTCACAGACAGACATAATTCCCAAATTGTGTTTTTCGGACTCGGGGAGGTCTAAAATGTGGAGATCCGTCAAAATCTCGAGTTCGAATTTTTTGACGATTACAATACTTTCTCTTTGTGCACTTCGTATACGAGAAAGTAAAAAGGGGAAGAGCTAAAAGGATGAAATTCGGTGCGTGGTCTTCATACCAAAGGGGCATATTTGTATCGAATTTTAGGAAAAATCCGTGAAAGGGAAGTCTGCTGTCCGTCTGCGTCCATTTGAACACGATAACTCAAAAATTCAATAACATAGGTCAATAGTTCCCAATACCTTTCCACTCGCGTACCCCTTGAATATCTTTTTATTTCTGAGTACTCCCTTCTGTTATATCCTCTCCCAACCATCCCTCAGCACAAAACAGTTTTTATTAATAACGCCAGAGGCTTAGGTTAGCTTAAGAGTCAAACGACTCTAATGAACCTAATAAAATTTGTAGGATTGATTTAGCTTTACATTTTACTCTATCACTTAAAACAGTACTAGTTCAATGTCAAAACCAATGAAAGCAGCATTAAAATAATTTCGTCTTAACTTATGATGAGAGCTAACAATGACTCAATAATAATGACTAAATATGACTAATGACTAAAACTGACTATAATGACTAAAATGACTAATATATAATGACTAAATATTAATCTACTTCCTCCTTTTTCTTATTTCGTGAATGGGCATTCGGACTCGTACAATTTCCACCATCATTTTACATAACAAATTGGGAAAACGAAATTCTAGAAAATACTTATGTTATGTATTTTCCGCCATTACCAAGATCAATTTCGCGTACACCTAACTGGTGTAACATACTACAAGTTGGGAACCTCTGATCTAAGCAAATAAAATTTGGCATCTGGTTTAATCAGCGGAAATGGAGAGTATATCAAATTTTAAAAATCCAGTATAGTTCAGGGACGAGAAAGATGGCTGAGAATTTTATATATAGTGTAGATGATAACGGACAAAAAATCGTTTCTAACATAGCCTGGTTTCGATCCGCAGACCTCTGGGTTATGGGCCCAGCACGCTCCCACTGAGCCACTCTGCTGTGTCTCAATACAGATAGTTAACTTTTATGAGCACGTATCAATAATTAAGAAATGCACAACCTGACTTTAGAGTAGTAATGCGGAAATTTGATTATATTTTTAAAGAATAAGGATAGAGAATTTACTTGAAATATTCATTTTAGTTAAAGAGACGGAAAGTTTTTTCGAATTTAGCTTATAGCAGAAGTAATAAATAGTAAAAAAGGTTTCTAGCAGAGCGTGGTTTCGATCCACGGACCTCTGGGTTATGGGCCCAGCACGCTCCCACTGCGCCACTCTGCTCTGTCCCAATACAGATAGTTAACTTTTATCAGCAAGTATCAATGATTAAGAAATGCAGAACCTGACTTTAGAGTAGTAATGCGGAAATTTGATTATATTTTTAAAGAATAAGGATAGAGAATTTACTTGAAATATTCATTTTAGTTAAAGAGACGGAAAGCTTTTTCGAATTTAGCTTATAGCAGAAGTAATAAGTAGTAAAAAATGTTTCTAGAAGAGCGTGGTTTCGATCCACGGACCTCTGGGTTATGGGCAGAGCACGCTCCCACTGCGCCACTCTGCTCTGTCCCAATACAGATAGTTAACTTTTAAAAGCAAGTATCAATGATTAAGAAATGCAGAACCTGACTTTAGAGTAGTAATGCGGAAATTTGATTATATTTTTAAAGAATAAGGATAGAGAATTTACTTGAAATATTCATTTTAGTTAAAGAGACGGAAAGTTTTTTCGAATTTAGCTTATAGCAGAAGTAATAAATAGTAAAAAAGGTTTCTAGCAGAGCGTGGTTTCGATCCACGGACCTCTGGGTTATGGGCCCAGCACGCTCCCACTGCGCTAAATAGTAAAAAGGTTTCTAGAGAGCGTGGTTTCGATCCACGGACCTCTGGGTTATAGCACGCTCCCAATGCGCCACTCTGCTCTGTCCCAATTCAGATAGTTAACTTTTATCAAGTATCAATGATTAAGAAATGCAGAACCTGACTTTAGAGTAGTAATGCGGAAATTTGATTATATTTTTAAAGAATAAGATAGAGAATTTATCTGAAATATCTTATTTTAGTTAAAGAGACGGTTAGTTTTTCGAATTTAGCTTATAGCAGAAGTAATAAATAGTAAAAAGTTTCTAGACAGCGTGGTTTCGACTGACCCTTGGGTTATATCAGCTCCCACTGCCACTCTCTGCTCTGTTCCAACACAGATAGTTAACTTTATCAGCAAGTATCAATGATTAGAAATGCAGAACCTGACTTTAGAGTAGTATGGAAATTTGATTATTTTAAAGAATAAGGATAGAGAATTTACTTGAAATATTCATTTTAGTTAAAGAGACGGAAGTTTTTTCGAATTTAGCTTATAGCAGAAGTAAATAGTAAAAAGGTTTCTAGAGAGCGTGGTTTCGATCCACGAGACTCTGGGTTGGGCCCAGCACGCTCCCACTGCGCCACCTGCTCTGTCCCAATCAGATAGTTAACTTTATCAGCAAGTATCAATGATTAAGAAATGCAGAACCTGACTTTAGAGTAGTAATGCGGAAATTTGATTATATTTTTAAGAATAAGATAGAGAATTTACTTGAAATATTCATTTTAGAGAAAGAGACGAAGTTTTTTTCGAATTTAGCTTATTCAGAAGAATAAATAAAAGTTTCTAGCAGAGCGTGGTTTCGATCCACGGACCTCTGGGTTATCAGCACGCTACCCACTCTGCTCTGTTCCAACACAGATTGTTAACTTTATCAAAGTATCATGATTAAGAAATGCAGAACCTGACTTTAGAGTAGTAATGGAAATTTGATTATATTTTTAAAGAATAAGGATAGAGAATTTGTTTAGTTTAGTTTAGTTTATTTTAGTTATATTAACGTCCCGTTTTGAAGCAACACGAGGCTATTTTGGATGGACCTCGTAATTTTGAACCTCGGCCAGATGACGAGGACGACACCAGAGCTGGCACCCCTTTCCAAACTTCCACGACAAACCAACGGGAGGACTTCTCACTACGTATGATTTAACGTGCAACAGGCCCCATGCACGGCGGATCTTCAGTGGAATCGGTCTCGAACTGGAACACTCCGGCCCAAAGCCGAGACCTTACCACTAAGAATTTACTTGAAATATTCATTTTAGTTAAAGAGAAGGAAAGTTTTTCGAATTTAGCTTATAGCAGAAGTAATAAATAGTAAAAAGCCCAATACAGATAGTTAACTTTTATCAGCAAGTATCAATGATTAAGAAATGCAGAACCTGACTTTAGAGTAGTAATGCGGAAATTTGATTATATTTTTAAAGAATAAGGATAGAGAATTTACTTGAAATATTCATTTTAGTTAAAAAAGAAGTTTTTCTGAATTTAGCTATAGCAGATATAGTAAAAAAGGTTTCTCAGAGCGTGGTTTCGATCCAGGACCTCTGGGTTATGGGCAGCACCTCCACGCCACTCTGCTCCCAGCACCAGATAGAATTTTATCAAGCATCAGATTAAGAATGCAGAACCTGACTTTAGTAGTAATGCGGAAATTTGATTATATTTTTAAAAATAAGGATAGGAATTTACTTGAGCTTAGTTTAGTTTAGTTTTTTTAGTATATTAACGTCCCTGGAAGCAACACGAGGCTATTTTGGGTGGACCTCGTAATTTTGAACCCCAGATGACGAGGACGAACCAGAGCTGCACCCCTTTCCAAACTTCCACGACAAACCAAGGGAGGACTTTTCCACTACGTGATTTAACGTGCAAAGCCCATGCACGATCTTCAGTGGAATCGGGTCTCGAACTGGAACACTCCGGCCCCAAGCAAAACACTCACTAAGAATTTACTTGAAATATTCATTTTAGTTAAAGAGAAGAAAGTTTTTCGAATTTAGCTATGCAAGAATAAAATAGAAAAAAGGTTTAGCAGAGGTGGTTTCGATCCCGGAACTCACTAGGGCCCAGCACGCTCCCTACTGCGCCCTCGCTCTGTCTCCACAAGATAGTTAACTTATGCAAGATCACATGATTAAGAAATGCAGAAACTGACTTAGGAGTAATGGAAATTTGATTATATTTTTAAAGAATAAGATAGAGAATTTATTGAAATATTCATTTTAGTTAAAGAGACGAAAGTTTTTCAATTTAGCTTATGGAAGTAATAAATAGTAAAAGGTTTCTAGCTGACGTGGTTTCTGATCCAAGACCTCTGGGTTAGGACGCACGCTCACTCGCCACTCTGCTCTGTCCAATCAGATAGTTAACTTTACCAAAGGCACACAATAGATTAAGAAATGCAGAACCTGACTTTAGAGTAGTAATGCGGAAATTTGATTATATTTTTAAAGAATAAGGATAGAGAATTTACTTGAGCTTAGTTTAGTTTAGTTTATTTTAGTTATATTAACGTCCCGTTTTGAAGCAACACGAGGGCTATTTTGGGATGGACCTCGTAATTTTGAACCTCGGCCAGATGACGAGGACGACACCTGAGCTGGCACCCCCCTCTCCAAACTTCCACGACAAACCAACGGGAGGAATTTGACCACTACGTATGATTTAACGTGCAACAGGCCCCATGCACGGCGGATTTTCAGTGGAATCGGGTCTCGAACCTGGAACCCTAAGGCCCCAAAGCCGAGACCTTACCACTAAGAATTTACTTGAAATATTCATTTTAGTTAAAGAGACGGAAAGTTTTTTCGAATTTAGCTTATAGCAGAAGTAATAAATAGTAAAAAAGGTTTCTAGCAGAGCGTGGTTTCGATCCACGGACCTCTGGGTTATGGGCCCAGCACGCTCCCACTGCGCCACTCTGCTCTGTCCCAATACAGATAGTTAACTTTTATCAGCAAGTATCAATGATTAAGAAATGCAGAACCTGACTTTAGAGTAGTAATGCGGAAATTTGATTATATTTTTAAAGAATAAGGATAGAGAATTTACTTGAAATATTCATTTTAGTTAAAGAGACGGAAAGTTTTTTCGAATTTAGCTTATAGCAGAAGTAATAAATAGTAAAAGGTTTCTAGCAGGCGTGGTTTCGATCCACGGACCTCTGGGTTATGGCCCAGCATCCCCACGCCACTCTCTGCTCTTGTCCCAATTCAGATGGTTAACTTTTATGCAAGTATCAATGATTAAGAAATGCAGAAACCTTTGAAGTAGTAATGCGGAAATTTGATTATATTTTAAGAATAAGGACAGAAGATTCCA